AGATAGATAGATAGATAGATAGATAGATAGATAGATAGATAGATAGATAGATAGATAGATAGATAGATAGATAGATAGATAGATAGATAGATAGATAGATAGATAGATAGATAGATAGATAGATAGATAGATAGATAGATAGATAGATGTTAGCATTCATCGACACTGGCTATACGACGGTAGCTCAATGCTACCGCCGTGTTTCCGTTGTTTACCGCGGCTTGTTCCAAACCCACTTGTTGCCCGAGTACTTGACGCCGTCGCGGACGGGGCACCCGCCATGGAGGCTCATTGGGTCGAGGGATCCATCCGGGAGCATGCTACACCAAATGTTCTTCCTCATGCAATGGTATTCTCCTACTACCTGTAAAAGACGATCACCTTGCCCTTCTTGGGGGCGACAAGGAGGCCTTTCGTGCAGTCGGTCATCGAGTCGGGCTGTGGACGGCCGCCGGCGCGGGGAAACGCCGTGTGGCCGCCGTCCGCGACGTCCGACATGTACCAAAAGACTGTGATCATGCGGTTCTTGAAGCCGTGATGGAGGTATTCTTGAAACTCTGGGCTGTTGTCGTACATATTGGCGTCAAAATAGTCGGTGTGGTGGTCGTATTTCTGCGTTTTTTCGTAGCGAAGAACTTGGACTGGCTCCTGGTGCGTCTTGTGCACCTTGACGAGCGCTTCGACACGGTCGTCGATCTCTACACATGCACAACGAGAGTCACAACGAATCCAAGGTGTCTGGGCCGTGTACGCGCCAAAATCGGACTCTCGGTCGATGGAAGAAAGTACTGGGAGCTCGTGCGCCACTCGGACGCGGGCTTGTCTTCGTCTCCGTCTTGGAGCTTGACCGCTACGCCCATCGAGTTATGTGCGCAAGGATGCTATGCGTACTGGAGGCGGCAAGGTGGGGCAGTGCGAGCTCGACAATGGCGTCGATTTCGTCGTTGTGAAGAAATCGGTCGACGGCCAGCACGAGCGGCTGCATGGACAGCGTCTCCAGCACGACATCACCGAGCCCTGGGAGGTCGGGTACAACCCGCCGATGTCCCACGCAGAGCCCCGGCCAGATAAACTGGCCGCCTTCAAAGAGGTACACGATGTTGTAGTCGAGCAGCTGGTCGATGATCGTGAGCAATTCGCCGTCGGGGGCGTAAAACTGAGGCGGCTGCTTCCACTGCACGTCATCCACGTCCTCAAAGCTTGACCTTGGAAGCGCACGCAGCAGCTCGTGGATGTCGCGCGCTGTCGTGTAGTACGAAGGGTACCCAAGAACACCGTCCTCGTACACGAGCCCTTGGATCCTAAAAGCGGCGCACAATGGACTCCTGGTCAACCATCAGGGGTACTACGTGTTGTTGGCCGTGGCTGCGAGGCAGAGGACGTGGAAGCCGCGGACGAACGTGGTGTTGGACAAGTGCGGAGCGGCGGCAGCCTTGCACGCGGATACATTGAAGGCAGGATCCACCTCGAAATGAATCGCCGGTGCCAAGAGAGAGGCGATGAGGTGCTTGTAGTCGACAAGCGTCGGAGGCGAGATCGAGTAGAGGCCGATGGCCACAGCGACAAGCAGCGTGAGCGCGTGGACCTGCGTACTCCTCATGTGGCTGTCAGTATGGATGTGTGAGTCCACGCCAACGTACGTTGCGAACCTTCCATACTGCGCTTCACCGTCGAAAAACGAAAGAAACGCTGCGGTACATGAACGAGAAGGGTTTGCCGGAAATAATTGGGCAGCATTGGTGTTAGCTCCAAGACAAGCGAAGATGTGGGTTAAGCGCATGGGAGCTGCGCGCGGGCACCTCATAAAGTCAATCATGCTACGAGCCCCCCGGCCACTTTATCAAAAGAAACTAAAGACGTCACCCCATCTCGACAAACTTGTTTCCTGACATGGTAGGATTTCTTTCTTAACCAACAGGAATGGTCAGGTCCAAGCCCATGAAGGCCTAATGTGTCGTCTGTGCAGTTCCCTTTTGCAACGTCGCCAACCATCGAGCTCCACCGGCGAAATGACATGCGAGTGTATGGAAGTCCCAATGATGGTATCACTCATGTCGACGTGCGTGTGTTGATCTCCAAACTGAACGAGCGGCTTAAAAAAAGGGTGACCACACGCGTTAGCAATTCGATTTTTGAGCATCTATCATTGAGATTCAGTTCCGCAACCGATGGCGACGCATGTGATTGGTCAAAAGCCTTTGTTGCACGTACCACCGATTGGCTAGAACCCAAGTGGGCGCACCAATCGGTGCGTCGCAGCGGCGCCAGTCTAAGATTTGCCGTGTGGCGAGAAGAGCAGCATGGGCAAGCTCCTCCACGCGCTGTTCGTCGTCGTCGCCTTGGCTGGCTACTACTACAGCGAGCTACTCCAGCATCATGTGCTTGCGCCCGTCGCGCGATCGCTGCAGCTGGACTCGCGGCTGCCG